TTCGTTTAAAAAAAATCGATTATTGTGATATGCATTACAAGAAGCATAACGGAAAACAATGAAATAAATGACAAAATATGGTTGATAATGAAATTAACGATATCACTTTCAATAAGTGATAATTTATATGAATAAATTCCAGTCCACATAACGTACTAAATGAATAATTATCTATCGGTAGAAATCAATGAATTGCCTCAATTCGCTGAGATCACTGATATGGAAGGATCTAAAATTTGATGAGCAATGAGTGGAGTGATTAAACCGATGAATAAGTGATAGTGAATGATGAATGCTCTTTTTGAAATGCAACAATTTAGCTGAAATTCAATGATATAAAATATAATATTGGCCAACAATAAACGAAAGAGACGCAAACGACATTGCAGATTGTCTTGTTGAATGAAGTTTGACTGATGTCTGAGGAGAGTGTGGGGCGGTGAAGTCCCGGTTTCAACTTTTCGGCGATTTGTCGCCTAATGACATAATCTTTATTAGTTGGTGATAGTGATAAAGTACGAAATCATAGCGCACATTATCCGCTCTTTTCCGAGGTATGCAATGATCAAATTAGTGTAAAACTTAAATCAGATTTATGATGGTCACAATTTTGTATTTGGCCTTTAAGGAAACCTATCGGTATTGTTTGTAGAAAAGTAAACATATTTAAACAAACTACTGACGGAAATGATTCTTTTTTTTTGATTAAAAAAACTAGACATCATCTGCTTGTAAGTAAGTGGTTTTTGGTCATCTTTAACCGCACAACGCTTTGCCGATGCAATGATAAAATACAGCACTAACATTGATGTCTCGAATTTACTACTGTTCATCTGTCAGTATCACTCGACACTCAGCTCTTCTTACACATCTGTTTGTTAGTATCTTCTGGTTTGAATTCAAACATCGACCTATTTGTCCGTTAGTATCATTCGACAAATCCACTCTCATAAGCGCACCCATCCGTCTGCGTCACTTATCGAATCAATCAAATTGAATTATTGCTGTATGCAAACTCGAATTTCGGTGACGACTTTTTCTCTGAAACAATCTCAGATGCCTTTCCGAGGTATCACGTGGATAGGATGAGATTGAGCGGGACGTGTTGTACTGAAATATTGGTGGTCGGACAGTTGAAAAGTGATTGATTAAATGAATTTCAGGATTTTCGATGGTATCTGATGAAGGATATTTTGGAAGCTTGTCGGTCCCACTGTTTGGAGTTTTGACATGTGCTAGCATCTATTTCTTGAGGTGTAATTAAAGATTCAAGTTAATTCAAGTGTAGTTAAGGATTCAGATTAATTCAAGTGTAATTGAAGATTCAAGTTTATGCTATCTGTAACCGCATTTTTGTTTTTCCTTTGAGATCTTACATAGAATCGGAAAATTTCGATATATAATAATCTATACGGTTAGTAAGATGATTTGATGTTGATTAGTGTCATAACCAATGTAATCAAAACTTCTAACAATTCTGCGAATATTCTTCATCTATGTAAAATGTAGTACTGTAAATTAGTTATCTTTTGGAATAAAACAATAAAATAAATATCAATAGTAAAAATAACCTTATAACTGCTTTGTGATGAAAGTGGACGTGATCCGGTCGCAAACATCACTTTCTCACTGCTTAGTTAATTGATCCGAAAAAAAAATTCTAAGAGATTAAGCTGCTGGACGTATGTCTGTTATAGCTGATTATCATTACTAACAAAATTACTTATTCAGTGAGATAATGCAGGAGTAGTTGAAGTAGTATTGTTTTCAAAAATCATTTGCTTTTTTTTTTTCATTTTATGTTCATAATGGATTTACATCGATTAAACAGAAAAATAAAGAATAAGTAAACATAGTTCCCATTTTCAGACGTCACTTGAAAGGCGCACAATTCACCGAACATGTCGGGGCGAAAGGAAAGATAGCATTAGTTACTGGGGCGAGTGCGGGTATAGGAAAGCAAACAGCTTTAGAGCTTAATCTCCGAGGTGCTACCGTTTATATGTTATGCAGAGATCGTACAAAATCGCAAAATGCAAGAATTGAACTGACAAAAGTAAGAAATTTTTGAAATTTACTCGATGAAATTAAGAAAGGATCACATAAGATTCTGATATGCTGTCCAAATATTGCAGTCTAATTGTAAGACATCATATGCATATGATATCTTTGGTAGCATTTCGGTTTTTTTTTGACAAAATAGAAGTGTTTGTAAAAACAATCTACGGAATCAGCTGACGCTACATTATTTTATAATTATGTATTTTAGATTTTCGAGATATTTAAAGACTATTTTTTGTCGACTAAACAACAGAGAGCTTTATGTTACTTTCTTTCATTTTTATTCTGCTTCCATTTAAGTTGGGTTGCGATCCAACGAAGTTAGTACTGAAAGATGTAGATTTGGCCAGCTTTGCAACGATTCGAAAATTTGCTGATGAAATCAAATACGGTTAATTTGCACTTTGAATATTAGTTAAGCGATTAGGATTGGTGGTTCATTTAGAATTTATAGAGATCATTTGATAGTTAGATTTCAATGAGGATTTTTATATTCCTGAAGAAATTATCTGTAGAGTGTATTGATTTTATAAATTATATGGAATCAAGTTCTGAGTTTTGAAATGTTGAAATAATATCCGAAATCTTAACT